GGACGTCTTGTTGTTATTATTGTTAAGAGGGTCCAACATGCCCATTTATGCCTCACACAAAAGGCTGTCCAGGCTCGATCCCTGGTGGTGAGAAAGGCAGCCAGAGGTGGAGACCACGGTCTCACATGCTCATTCTCAACTGATTTAACACGTTAAAATCAAAGTTACACCCTTTTCAAAATTTATATATTTTTATCATTTCATATTACACGTTATTTAGTGTTTTATACTGGTTTAAATGATATAAAAAAATTATTTTTCTTGAGTTACATGTTCATAAAATAAAAAAAAATGTGTGCAACAGATTTATATCATGTTAACTGAAAAAACAAGAGTAGGAAAGTGGTGATTTCGTGTCGAACTGGGAAGGTCCACAGAATATCTGAGAGTCTGGGTAAGAAATTTAGCGGTGAAAAAAAGAGAAACAAAGAGAAAATGTGTTTAGGTAGTTCCGACCTAAGAGTGATCAGAACCGACCAAAAGAACAGAAAAAGTCCGTGAGCGAAGCGCTAACCACTCGAAAAGAGAATATGCTCTGAGCTCTCAAAATAAATGGGCTCAATGTATGAATTCTTAGTTCAAAGTTCATATTCTCATTATGGAGTACATAGAAGAGTATTTATAGGCAATTACATGTCCAGGCTTTGTAACCATTATGGTTCGGGTCTTCGGGTCTCGATAAGTATGGTACACCCGAGTGCTTTTCACCTACTTTTCTTGTTTTCTGGTACCGTTTGACCAACCATACGGCTCTGCTATACTTCACTTAACTTCTCGTATTGCTTGCAACATCTGACACACTAGATCAGACGTTGGGGTGTATCCTCGAAATCAATTTCTTTAAGTATTAATCGTCTTTTGCAGCATATGTCACTTGTTTTTTTCCTAACATGTATAGATAAAAATGCTTTTACATTTGTTTGAGAATTCAAATGTTTAAACTAATGAGGGAATCAAATATATCATGATGTTAAGATATTTTTTATCTTGCGAACTTTTGATAAGAAAATTTGGATCACGTATTCTACTCCTAGGATAACGATATTCATCTTGACCCTTTATATCCAGGGGCGGAGGCAGCTGCCCGTCCCCAAATGAAATTTTTATAATAGTTTAATTTGCAAGGGTAATGAAGTATTGCCCCATTGATAATAACTATTTTGCCTCTTAAATTATTTTTATCAGAAAATTGCAACAATTTCTCATAAGATTTATGTAAAATTGTCTTAAATCTTTGTTTTTTTCTTTGTTGTTTTGAATTTCATTTTTGCCCCCGATAAAGAATATTTCTGCTTCCACCACTGGTTATATTTGTCCGCGAGTCTAAATATTTAGTTTGTCACTCATGTAGAAATGTTTGTCAATATACAATCGGAATTGATGTTAGAATCTAATATTTTCGAAGTCTAAACTACCAATATCCTTTAATATATTTATCTTGTTAACTTATTTATTATCTCGCGCAAATGATCAAAGCTTAACAAAGACAAAAATGAAAAGACAAAACAACTCCTCTCTCTTTACAGCTTTACTACCTAATCTTTTTTGTTTTTGTGACGAAATTACTTACTACCTAATCTAGCAACATGAATTCGTTACCCATTTCATTTTTTCAGTCAAACTATTAATATTGACCAAATTCACTCTTTTGACTAATCTAAAATATTGAACTGAAGGGAACAAAAATAA